GAACAAGATCATACCATTTGTGACATGGATGAACCTAAACAGCACAGTAAAACCCTGGATTGTGAATAACTTGTTGTGCGAGTGTTCCTCAAGATGAGCAAACATTTCTAATACATTTTAACTTGATAAAGGAGTGATGTCTTGCAATAGCAGTACATGACTCCGAATGTCACGTGATCACTACTGAGTCAATGGTCCTTCTCTCTCTCTCTCTCTTTTGCTGTGGGATTGTGGATGATTGTCTCCCATGCTCAGATTCTCTGTCTCAGGCCTCAGTGTTTGGCAGAAATCAGTGATTTTTCAGAACAGTGGGAGGTGCCCACAACTGACACTAACTAGCGTATTTTTGTCACTTCAAAGCACCAATGGACAGTCCTTTGCTTTTCCATACAAGAGTAAGTTTAGGAATGCTTTGCTTCATTCTAGGTCAGGCTGCCTGCAGAAAAAGATCCTTTCTTCTGCTGCCTTATTGCCAGTTACATTAAATATGGTATATGACAAGAATTTCTTAATACTGTACTGTAGTCAACATCCGTGTGAGCATATACAATGACCCCCATGCAGAAAAAGGTGGAAAAGAAAGGCGGTAAGAAGAACAGGATGAGGGGCACCTGGGTGGCTCAGCCGGTTGAGTGTCTGACTTTGGCTCGGGTCATGATCTCACAGTTTGTGAGTTCAAGCCCCACATCAGGCTCTGTGCTGACAGCTCAGAGCCTGGAGCCTGCTTCGAATTCTGTATCTCCCTCTCTCTCTGCCCCTCCCACATTCGCACTCTGTCTCTCTCAAAAATAAATAAACATTAATAAAAAAATTTTTTTAAAAAGAAGGGGATGATTACAGTGGAAGAAAGACATCACAAAGTACAAATGAGGTATGCAAGTAGATGGAATTGCAAGATTTCATAAGAAGTCTAAGTCTGTGTCTTGTCTGCAGAGGAGGAGGAGAAAAAGGTGGAGGAATCTCTCACTTCAAATGAAATTAGGGAGATGTGTAAAATGTGGGAAACAATGCAAAATTTTGTAGAAAAGCACCACCCGAATAAGGCTGTAGCAGTGTGCAAGCAATGAATCTGTTTAACAACAATGCAAGGTCACATTTCTGTGAAATCCTCAAAAGGAGGCAAAAGCAAGTGTCATTGGATAGGTTCCTTGTTAAAGTTGCATGAAAAGAAAAAGATACCATTGAGCCAAAAGACAGCAAAGATTCCATTAGTGAGAGTGAAAGTCTTCCTACACAACAACCCTCCTCTCTCGTCTCCTTCACATGAACCAGGAAAGTTTTCAAAGGTAAGTGCAGGTTATTTTTTCTTCATATTTTGTATTGTATTACAGTATTCTGATCATTTTTATTTTTATTTAAGTTTTTTAACATTTATTCATTTTTGAGACAGAGTGTGAGGAGGGAGGGGCAGAGAAAGAGAGAGACAGAATCTGAAGTAGGCTCCAGGCTCTGAGCTGTCAGCACAGAGCCCGATGAGGGGCTCGAACCCACGAATTGTGAGACCATGACCTGAGCTAAAGTCGGACACTTAACCAACTGAGCCACCCAGGCACCCCTTGTGATCATTTTTATATAAATATTTTTGGGTTGTGGAACGAATCATCTGAGTTTCCATTATTTCTTATGGGGGAATTTTCTTTGATATACAAGTGCTTTGCATTACAAGCGTGTTTCCAGAATGAATTATGTTCACAAATCAAGGTTTTACTGTATTATGCTAAGTGAAATAGTCAGACTGAGAAAAACAAATACCATACGATTTCACTCACTGTGGAATCTAAAAAAAAAAAAAACAACAAAACAAACAAATAAATAAGCAGAATCAGACCTGTAAACACAGAAAACAAACTCATGGTTGCCAGAGGGGATGGGGAGTAGATGGGCAAAACAGGTGAAAGGGAGAGAGAGATACAGGTTTCCAGCTACGAAATAAAGAAGTCACAGGAATAAAAGGCACAGCATAAGGAATACAGTCAATATTATAATAGTGTTATATGGTGCCAGATGGTAGCTACACTTGTGGTAAGCATAGCATAATGTTTAAACTTGTTGAAGCACCATGTTTACACCTGCAGCTAATGGTAACATTGTGTGTCAACACAACACTCAAATACAAAAATTAATAATAAAAAAATTGGTGGTCTTACCAAAAGAAGTTGAACCTATGCATCTTAGCTTCTTCTTGTCTGTGGCACTTGCAAAAATTGCTGCAAACCTACTTTGTTCTATGACTTAAAATACTTAAATCACTACCTTGCACACACACGCACACACACAAAGTAGAATTAAAGGAGTTTGTTCCAGTGATGAAAAATTTCCATATTTTCATAGGGATGTGAATAACAGGGGTGGACAATCAGCCAAAACTCATTTGACTGTGCAGAGATGCACAGAAAAGTGCCAGAAGCCAAGCTATCCAACCAGCCTGATGGCAGGGCCCAGGCGGTGGACGGATCGGGACTGCATGGCGGCCCACCAAAAGTGAAGCTTCTTGTATTCCTGCTTTTATGTAATTTGGCCTTAGAGATGGTCAGGGCAGCCTCCCTACCAATGAAAGTACATGGGGATTTGTTGATTGGGGAATTGCCCATGACAGGCCCCTCGGGCAAAAAAACCATTGGGGAAAGAAAGAAGATTCCGCAGGGAAATTAGTGGCCCTACATCCAGCCTTTGCCACCCCCTATAAAGACTCCTCTACCTAAAGGAAGGATAGCCCCATATATTTCCCAGCCAAGGAGGGGAACAAATGGGTTCGAAATCCCCAATTCCGTTAACAAAGGAATGTATCTATGGATACAAGTTACTCCAACCCCCAGGCCCACTTGGCCGCCAGAAGGCATTCCAGAGCATATCTGGACCTGGTGGGTTAAGGTACAGAATGGTTCATTAGTTCCTAGGTATACATTGTCTCTCTGGGAGCACATAAGGCATGGGTTCCCAGGGCCCTCTTTCCTCCCTCTGGGCACCCCAGACCAAAGCGAATACTTTTGTTCCTTGTATCCCAGATGGTTCAAAGGAACAATTAAGAAGTCATGTCCCTGTAAAGGTTCCACTTGAGGTGTTGAGAGCTAGATGACCTTGAAAGGGCAAGAGAAAATGTTACAAGAAAATAACTATGTTGTTCCTTAACGGATGATAACACAAAAGAACATTTTTAGAATTAGGTAATGCCAGGGGCTCCTGGGTGGCGCAGTCGGTTAAGCGTCCGACTTCAGCCAGGTCACGATCTCGCGGTCCGGGAGTTCGAGCCCCGCGTCAGGCTCTGGGCTGATGGCTCAGAGCCTGGAGCCTGTTTCCGATTCTGTGTCTCCCTCTCTCTCTGCCCCTTACCCGTTCATGCTCTGTCTCTCTCTGTCCCAAAAATAAATAAATGTTGAAAAAAAAAAAAAAAAAGAATTAGGTAATGCCAGAAAGCATAGATGACACATGCTATAAGGAATTTGCTAACAAATACAATGCCATGCTTGCCACAATAAAGCGGCCTATCTAACACACTGCTATTGTCTGTGTCCATTTGTTATTTTCGCCGACGCCATTCATCCTTCAGGAACCCCTGGACCTGCTGGGGCTGGACTCTGGCAGAAAAGTGACAGAGTAAAACATTATCGATAGAAACTAGATGGTGGACCCAGGAGTGTTCACTGCACAATTCTTTCAATTTTTTGAGCGTTTTGTAAAATATCCAAGATACGTACACCGGAAACTGAAATTAAAAACTTAATAAAAAATTAAATAAATAAATAAAAACTCCTTGTTTAATCATGGTCAGAAATAAAAAAGAAGAAATGCACATCCAATGACCCAATCATTATTCTCCTGGGTATATACTCAACAAAAATGCATAAACATAAATCAAGAGATGTGTATTTTAAATCTTATGGTGGCATCGTTTATGCTGAGCAGAATGCTATTAGCAAAATGAGTAATATTTATTCACAGATACAAGAATCGGGGGAAAAGCCCATTCATGTCCTTAAGAAATAAATGTCAAAAATAATTTTGCATTTTATATTTAATAATTGCATGTCAAATTATGTAATGACTTATGTCATTTCGCCATGTGTATACAAATAATAGTTGTAATAAAAACCCAATTCAGTACAAAAACATTTTTTAATAAAAAAATAAAATATCCATGATAAAATGTTGGCAATCTTTAAATTAAAAATTAAAGATTTGGGGCACCTGGATAGCTCAGTCGGTTGAGCCTTTGACTCCGGATTTTGGCTCAGGTCATGATCCCAGGGTTCTGAGATCAGGCCCTCCACTGAGTGTGGAGCTTGTTTGGGATTCTCTCTTTTTCCCTCTGCCCCTCTCCCACGCCCGCGCGTGCTCTAAAATTAAAAAAAAAAAATTAAATTAAGTTAAAATTAAATATTTATTTTAAAAATAAAAATTAACTCTACACCTAAGATGTATTCATTACACTGTGTATTAATGATACCTCAAAACAAAACACCAGAACTAAGGAGGGGCTCGGTTAAAAACGGAATAGAAGGAAAATACAATAAGTCTGTTCAATCATAAATGTGGCTGTTCTGAGAAGAAAATTCTTTAAATTGGTAACTTGTTCTCTAAGTAAGAAGTAACTTCGGCCAAAGCAGGGGGCTGCGTCCTTCCTAAACAACTGTTTCTCCCCTGGACCCCTCTCCCTCTTCCTACCTATAGTGGCTGAGTCAGAAAACACCCGTGCAGCTTAAGCTTGCCTGCGCATCGCGGCCAGCGGAGCCTCATCTCGTAGCTACGGTGTGCGCCCCATCCAGTCCCCGTACACTCCAGTCTACCAGCACCCAGCGGGCCGCGACCCAGCGTCCACGCCCGACGGAAGCTCACGCAGCTCCGCCCCTTGTGCTCCGCCCTACGGCCCGCCGGGAGCTCCGTCCCACCCCTCCCCGGTTGCGCCCCGCCCCGCCCCTCATTCAGCTCCGCCCCACCTGGGTTGCGCCCCGCCCCGCCGCGACGAGGGTCGCCCCCGCGGGCCGGGACCCCACGCAGCTCCGCCCCGTGCGTCCTGCCCCGCTCCGCCCTGAGTCCCGCCCAGCCTTGCGTCCCATCCCCAGTCCCGAATTGCTCTGCCGGGTGCACTCTGATCGGCCTCGACCCGTCTGGCACAGCGTATGCGATCAGCCTGAGCCCCGTGGGCGCGATCCCTGGCCGGCCGGGCAGATGCTGGGCGTGATGGCCCACCTTGCCCTCGCCCCGGTAACGCGGCAGGTCAGCGGCCGCGCCGCCTCGGCCGCAGTCCCTAGCGGCCCCGAGCGCGGGCAGCCCCTGGCCGCAACAGTGGCCGAGCTGTCTGTGCTGGACGCCTCCGGGAGGCAGGTGCCGTTCGGCGCGCTGTTTCGGGAGCGCCGGGTTATCGTGGTCTTCGTGAGGGTGAGCGCAGGCAGAGGGGCGGCCCAGAGCAGGGACCTTGCGGCAGGCTGGGATGGAGGTTGCTTCTGTAGCCTCGGCTGGGGGACATCGGGTCCCTGAGAAGGTTCAAGGCCCAAGAGTGAGGTCTCCCTGGGCGTGGCCATCCCCATTGCTGGTCAGTAGAGGCTTCCGGAATACGAACTGCCCTTCTGGCTTCCTTTAATAGGAATGGAAAAATAGCCCTCCAAGCCAAGTACATTCTCCCAGCAAACGAGGCCTAAGAGCGGGTGCGGCCCAATTTTAATGCACCTCGAGCGCCCTTCACACCTTTTTCTGTCCACCTCGAGTGGCGTCATGAGTAACAAAGTACTTGGTCTTTTATAGTTGCTAACTTGCCCTTTTTGCCGTGTTGGGATTTCAGCATTTCCTGTGTTACATCTGCAAGGAATACGTAGAAGATCTGGCCAAAATCCCCAAGAGTTTCTTACAAGTAAGTTTCCTGAGAGTGAGCAGCAGTGTGCCTTGCCTCAGGGCGACCTTGTGAAAGTCACCTGTCATTTATTAAGAAGCGAGGTGTGGTGAGTATGACACATCTCCAGAACAGACTCTCACAAACCCGTATTATCACCTTCCTGCACATCTCTCCCAACACTTTCAAAAAGTAGACAGAGGTTAGAGATATATTTTTGTCCTGCTTTACTTTTCTATGTACTGCCTGCTAATATGTACTAATCATAATAATTTAGATGTTAGTAACTTATTTGTAAATGTTGAATGATAATGACCAAAAGCACAAATGCTAGAAATTATTGCTATTTTATTCCCTTTATTTTTGTAATAAGAGCACTGCAAATAGTTGTTGACTATGCGAAAATACTAATATATCTTAAAGGTGAACATTTGTATTTGTTAGGATGCGCTTTCCACATTCCTGGGACATCCACATACACGCTTTTTTTCAGATACATATACGTTTGTCCCCAGGTGAATTTTTGAGTGAAAAAATTAGGCAACCTTTATAAAACTAAGATCTGTTTCCCTCAGGCATTAGTAATTGGGATGTGAAAAAGTAAAATTGTCTAATTTTTAAAAACCCTCCAATAATTTTTATTCTTTTTTAATGTATGTCTTTGGGGAGAGGAAAGAATTATTGGCTATATTATTTTGAAGTTCTTTCTTGGCAAAAGACCAACTGAATTAACTGAACATTTTAGCATACATTTCTTTATTTTGATTCACACAATTTTGCTGTTTATTTCATTCTTCTAGAAGCGTATAGGTGGCATTAGAATGGAACAAAAGAGTTGAATAAGGGGGAGTTTTATAAAACATAAATAATTTCTGGTAATATGTACCTGTCCTTTTTTTCTCCTAAAGGAAGCAAATGTCACCCTTATAGTGATTGGACAGTCATCCTACCATCATATTGAGGTAAAGGTATCATCAGAAATTGCGAAACCAACAGATTAAATCAGTTTCAGACATAAAAATTATTTTATTTGAACAACTAAGTGTAGATTAAATTTACAAAAATAAAGATAGGTTATCATTACTTTTCTCTCTCATTTTTACTAATACAAATTCCAAATATTATCTTTTTTTAGCCTTTCTGCAAACTGACTGGGTATTCTCATGAAATCTATGTTGATCCTGAGAGAGAAATTTATAAAAAATTAGGAATGAAAAGAGGTGAAGAAATTGCCCCTTCAGGTAAGACATGACATGTCCCATCAGAAAATGCCGGTGGTGTATTTTACATTTGTGTATGTGTGCATAGAGAAACAAATGGTAAACTCATAAATCAGGCTGGTTTTTAGGATTCTAGTAAGTGGGCCAGATACACCAGATTCTCAAGGATTCATTTCCTAGGTGTAATGACATAGAAAGCTGTGAAGTACCAAAGGAGTGAAGAAAGCAAGTTGCAGAACACTGTTTTTGGTTTGATTCTGTTTTTGTGGAAATAAAAACCATTTTCATAAAGATCAAGAGTATGTATATGTGTGTGTAATGAAAAAGGTTTTAAAAGATACTGCCATGCTTACCCCAAGGTATAGAAGTTAGAAAAGTGTCTTTTGTGCTTTTAACAGTGGGAGTACATTTTTTTTTAATGTTTATTTGTTTTGAGAGAGAGATAGCACATGTGTGAGTAGAGGAGGGGTAGGGAGAGAGGGAGAGAGAGAATCCCAAGCAGGCTCCACGCCATCAGGGCAGAGCCTGAAGTGGGCTTCGATGTCTTGAACCAACTGTGAGATCATGACCTGATCTGAAGTCAAGAGTTGGATGCTTAACTGACTGAGCCACCCAGGCACCCCTAACAGTAAGTACATTTTACTTTTGTAATTCAATGAAAAAATAATATTGCTTGAGTTCATATATTTTGCTACTTCAACACCATAGCTTTGAATAGTATATGTTCTTTAATTGATGAAATCTGTTTTCATTGAAGCCAACTCAAAGGGGCCCTTCAAGCAGAAGTTATTGCTTCCCTCATTGTACTTTAATAGCACCTTGTACTTTATTATATACTCTATTAGTGATTAAGGTGTGCAGATACTATGGTTATTTGAAGAATTTGAAATTTTATTCATTGTTATGTGGTCCATATTCCCTGCCCTTAGCACAATTCTTTATAATTAACAGAGCTTCATCAGCTTTAGGTGAACCATTGCTGTGTGTTTTAGGTGGAAAGAATGTGGCTTCTAAAATGCCAAATGAGAAGGGGTGCCTGGGTGGCTCAGTCAGTTAAGTGTCCAACTTTGGCTCAGGTCATGATCTCGTGGTCGTGAGTTCAAGCCCCCCGTTGGGCTCTGTGCTGACAGCTCAGAACCTGGAGCCTGCTTCAGATTCTATGTCTCCCCTCTCTCTCTGCCCTTCCCCTGTTCTCTCTTTCTTTCTCTCAAAAATCGATAAAAAAATTTTTTTTAATTAAAAAAAAATGCCAAATGAGAGAACTCAAACTCAAATCATTCACTCTCAAAAAATATTGTTGCGCTCTTGTCAGTAATCCCCACTTTGGTGGATGCTCCCAGAAGAACAGTGATAAACAGCCCCTGCCATCCTGAAACTCATACTCTTCTCTAGGAAACAGAAGCGAACAGCTGATTACAATTTAAGGGCTTGTACTAGAAAACATGTAAGGAGAAAATCATTACCAGAAATGTGAGGGCAGAGAAGAATCTGGGAAGGCTTCTCCCGAGGAGGTGTCACCTAAGCCCACTCTTTTTTCTTTTTCAATTTTTTTTTTAATGCTTATTTATTTTTGAGAGAGAGAGACAGACAGAGCACGAGCAGGGGAGGGGCAGAGAGAGAGGGAGACACAAAATCCAAAGCAGGCTTCGGGCTCCGAGCTGTCAGCACAGAGCCAGATGCGGGGCTCAAATTTGTGATCTGCAAGATCATGACCTGAGCTCAAGTTGGACACTTAACCAACTGAGCCACCCAGGCGCCCCGCCCCGTAAGCCTACTCTTAAAGGAGTTAGCTGGGTGAGATGAGTCTGGAGAAGGGTGCTGCTGACAGAAAGCACATGCAAAAGCACATGGGCATGAAAAACTGTGGCCCTTGGAGAAGTGCAGATCCCTGCATCACGCCAGAGTCTAGGAGCCAGTTGAGGAATTGAGCCAGGGGACAGGTGTTGGCCATTTCAGACTGAGTCTGGGGTGACCAGCCAAGGAGTTTGGATTTGCTCTGGAGGCAGTAGGGATGTCACACAAGCATTTTAGGTAGAGAAGTGATAGCCATGTGTCCATTGTGGTGGAGTATTTAGAACTTGCCGAGCCAGAGCCACTGATACAGTTATAGTAGGGTGTAGCAATAGACTAGAAAGAAGTGCTCGGGCAGAAAATGGAGATGAAGAGGAGGGGATGGGTCAGGAGCTATTTATGACATAGAGTTGATACGATTGCTTTACTGATGTTTTTTCAAAAAAGCAACCTAAATTTTATTAAAACTAATAATGAGCTATCATAAACAGAGTTTACTATTTCCTTTTTTCTCCTTGGTATAGGAAATTGCAATGTATAGATTGTGAGCCTTACTTATTGGTAGACTGTTTTCTGTGTTATAATAGTCCCAGTGTGTGTAAGTTCTGTTTATCATTTAGCACTTTAGATCTAAACTGTGAGCTTCATCTTAGTAACACCTCACCATTCGCAGGCACAATAAAAATGCAGAATTGAAAAGAAAACAGATGAATTTGAAACAAAACTTATGCTTGTAGTTATTAGATAAGGTATATTTAAATCTTTTAAACTCTTCTGACCTGTGTTAAAGTACTGTATTTCCAACCAGAAAGCATTATTTTCTCATAAGATCATCTTTTACAAGTTCCTCTCTGAAAAAGCATAAGTCTCAGAATAGTCCTACTTGGAAATTAAGACACTAAAAAATTAGATTATAATTTTAAGGGGCGCCTGGGTGGCTCAGTCGGTTAAGCGTCCGACTTCAGCTCAGGTCATGATCTCACGGTCCGTGAGTTCGAGCCCCGTGTTGGGCTCTGTGCTGACAGCTCAGAGCCTGGAGCCTGTTTCGGATTCTGCGTCTCCCTCTCTCTGACCCTCCCCCATTCATGCTCTGTCTCTCTCTGTCTCAAAAATAAATAAACGTTAAAAAAAAAAAAAGATTATAATTTTAAATTAATGGACATTTTATAAAGACAAAATAAGAAAATAAAGCCCTTACATGCCAGGAAATAATGGGTTTGTAGAAGACTGAAAAACAGGAGTTTTATACATATGAACTAAATTCAAATGGGCAACATTAGATCGTGTTTGAAGCAAAGACTGTCGAATTCTAGGTCATGGAATCTCCTTCAACTGAATTTCTAAAGTTTCAGAAATATTAAATGACCCCATCTTTGGACCTGAAGAAATAGTTTGGATTTCTGAATATTTATTTTAGATAGAGAATCCTATAAACCAGTAAACCAGTCTTTTACTCATGTCTCTAAGCTAATGAGCCTGTATTTGTTTTTTGGTAACATCAGTGTCCATCATAATGGAAACATGAAACAAATAAAAGAGTCGTAGAGATGAAGGGAAATAATAGGTATTTGGAAATACTAGGAATTCAGGCAGGTCAAAGGCAGTGTAAATAATAAGCCAAAAACAAAACATAAAAGGCAAGGATAGGAGAAAGATAAGTTACAAGAAGGGTAAAGAGACTGAGTCCCTTTACTCAGTGGGAGTGGAAGGGAAGTATTAGTCACAGTGGGGAAGGAGACTGAAAAACTGACAGCCAAGGAGAGATGGAAAGGTGGCTGGAGTAGCTGTTGTTACAGAGAACTCCCAAAGTCTCAGTAGCATAACACAGTAGAAGATTAGTTCTTTTTCTGGTAATTTCAAGATGGGTGTATCTATTCAGATGTCTCTCCTCCAAGCAGCAATACCAACAGGAACACAGTAGGAAGGACTGAGGCCTCTTCCATCTTGTGGCTCTGTCATTTTCAACCCAAGGCTTCCAAGAAGGTAGAGGGAATATGGAGAATCACTTGTGGGAGGTTTTAAGGAGTTGGCCTGGAAATGGCCCAAATCATTTTATTCAGGGGTTAGAACATAGTCACGTGGCCATACGAAACTGCCAGGAAATTTAGCTGTGGGCCCAGAAAAAGGAAATGGGTTTTGCCAGCATATAATAGTCTGTGCCACAGTGTCTCTTGAAAAGGAGTGTAGTTACTTATAGTAGGTGAGAGACTCAAAAGAGGATAAATGGGGTATTAAAAGGGAAAGCACTGGGGCGCCTGGCCAGCTCAGTCAGTAGAGCATGTGACTCTTGATCTCGGGGTTATGAGTTCGAGCTCCATGTTGAGTGTGGAGATTACTTAAAAATAAAACCTTTAAAGAGAAAAGGGAAAGCAGTACCAATTTGAGAAGTCTGTAGCTGACATTCTTCTGTGGCATTGGGATATATCATGACTTCTTCCTTTAAAGTAGTAGTTCTCGATCAGGGGACATTTGGTATTGTGTGAAGACATTTTTGGTTGTCACAACTTGGTGAATGGTGCTATGGCATCTAGTGGGTGCACAGGGCAGTGATGCTGCTGAACATCGTACGTTACACAGGACAAAGACTTGTGTGCTCCAAAATGTCAATAGTGAAAGGCTGAGAAACCTTTCCTTGAAGGAAGAAAAAAAGACAACTTGAAAGTAAGATAACACACAAGAAAGAGAATGTTTTAGGGACACCTGGGTGGCTCAGTCGGTTAAGCGTCCGACTTTGGCTCAGGTCAGGATCTCGCGGTCCGTGAGTTTGAGCCCCGCGTCGGGCTCTGGGCTGATGGCTCAGAGCCTGGAGCCTGTTTCTGATTCTGTGTCTCCCTCTCTCTCTGCCCCTCCCCTGTTCATGCTCTGTCTTTCTCTGTCTCAAAAATAAATAAACGTTAAAAAAAATTAAAAAAAAAAAAGAAAGAGAATGTTTTAGAGGGGGATGGGCAAAAGTGGGTGAAGGGGACTGGGACGTACAGGCTACCAGTTATGGAATTAATAAGTCATAGCAATGAAAGGTACAACATAGGGAATATTGTCAGTGGTATTTCAATCGCTTTGGATGATGACAGATGGCAGCTACACTTGTAGTGAGCACAGCCCAACTACAGAGCTATGGAATTGCTGTTATATACCCCAAGCTAATGTACATTCTGTGTCAACTATACTTCAGAAAGAGAGAGTGAATGTTTTACACAAGTACTAACATTATCTTCTGATATCTAATTGAACATAAAATGATAATATCTAAAGACAATTCCCAATATTTCAGGAAAGAGTCCCCATATAAAATCAAATGTACTCTCGGGAAGCATTCAGAGCCTGTGGAGGGCAGTGACTGGCCCTCTTTTTGATTTTCAAGGAGACCCTGCTCAGCAAGGTGGAACCCTCATTTTAGGTCCAGGTAAGCATCAAAGTGCAATTCCAGTAGTATGCTTTTTGTGCCTTTTAGAAGTTAAGAGGCCACCCAGTTTCTTCATAAAATAGATACCATGTAAAAATGGCAATTTGACATTGTAATAGTCACCATTCTGTGCTTGTAGGGGCAGGGGGCATCTTTTGTTTTTAAAGGCTTCTGTGTATTTTGTGTCTGTTTATTGGATGTAATGTGCCCATCATTCTGTGCCTGAGTGATTTCAGTATTTGAGATAGGAAAGTCAGTGGTGGTTTGGTGAATTGTATATGGCTATAAAACTGTTTAAAAAGTTCATGGAGGGGCACTTGGGTGGTCCAGACAGTTGAATGTCTGACTCTTGACTTCGGCTCAGGTTGTAGTCCCAAGATTGTGGGACTGAGCCCCGCATTGGGGTCTGCACTGAGCGTGGAACCTGCTTAAGATTCTCTCTCTCTCTCTCTCTCTCTCTCTCTCTCTCAATCTCTCTCTCTCTCTCTGTCCCCCCCGCCCTCCTCCCCCAGCCCCTCTCCCAGCTTGTGCATATTCTCTCTCTCTTAAAAAATAAATAAAAATAAATAAAATAAGAAGTTCATGGAAGTGAACATTTCCACATAAGAGAAAATCCTCAAGCTTTCCCCCCACCCTGCCTTTTTTTTTGAGGGGGGGGAGGGGGCGTCAATAGAAGAATCAATCCAGTTACTTATATCTAATAAGGCTAGAAGACTTGCTTAGTGTCAGAAGGCAAGTCAGCTCATTCAGTAACAACTACTGTAAGCCACATAGTTTTAGTAGCTTTATTGATTGGAATACCTGAAATTTCTTTGGCTCCACATTGCTAACTGGTTGACCACTGGATCTCTATCATGTTCAAGTATTGTAGTCAGGGACAGGCACTAAGTAGATTTTTCTTAGTTCTTCCTCTTTGAAACTGCCCACAATAGTGAGCATAGCTTCTAGAAGTTATAAAATTTTACTTTAATAAACTCCAGATGTCTAAAAGTCTTTAGAAGGAGGCTTTTGACCAAACATTATGGCTTTTTGGCTTTCTGCAGTTAGAGTACTTTAGCTAGCTAAAACCTGTCATTCAATTTCTTTCCCTCTCTTGTGAATTTACACCAGTTAGACCAGACAGAAGAGAAGCCCTGTTTTATGAGACTGAGTCCTATAGATTATCCTCAATGACATTGAGCCATAGTTTTGGATGGCTTGTTTCCATCGTCCAACCTGTTGTGAGCCCCTCATCTCCATTGTCTCAGTATCATGTGACCACATGTTCAGGTGTGTAAGAGTGATGAGCACACAGAGTTCATCACTGGAACATACTCAATAAAGAGAATATTTTGATACTCTGCCGGAAGGAGTGTAGCTCCTCTAAGGAAAGAGCTGGGTATACTTATTTACACAAATCTATCACAGTTAACCCAGTATTTCATTTTGCCTTATTTGATAATAAGCCAATTCATGATATTAAATCTACAGTGATACTATAGACAACAGTTAAGTATAATGCAGAGAACATGCCTCTTATAATTAATCATGAGGGTTGATGGAGGAAGGTGGGGGGGGCAGATGGACTAGATGGGTGATGGGTATTAAGGAAGGCACTTGTGATGAGCACTGGGTGTTGTATGTAAGTGATGAACCACTGAATTCTACTCCTGAAACCAATATTGTACTATATGTTAACTAACTAGAATTTAAATAAAAATTTGAAAAGAAAAAACACATGCAAAGAATTATAGAATTTCATCTGTAGGTTGAAATAAAAAAAGCTAATCTAATGTTTTAAGTTCAACATCTGGCTTTGAGTCTAAGAATCAAAGTAAAAAGATCTAGACCTATAAATTACGGGGTTTTTTTTATTTGAGCAGATAAAAGGTTTGTTGTGGAGGTCTTAACAGTCTCAATGCCCTGCTTTTCAGCCTCTTTTGGTCTCTGGTTATAATGCAGATAGCCTATTAAATCAGTGTTTGAGAGTGAATTTTTTTTTAAGCAAGTGATTTATTCCATTATTACATTTAAGAAACAGATGTGATTTTCCATTTGATATCTGTGTTCTGTATTGTTCCTGTCTGTTTGACAGGACATTTTATTTAATTACATCTAATAAAACCTAACAGAGGTTATAATTTAAGAATATTTCCCCTTAGATCTCATAAAACATTAAGTATCACTCTTATTTAACCATAATCCTTTTCATCCTTTATTACCTTAATTAAAAATTATTACAGCATTATATAGAGAATATTATGAACTCCAGGCAATTAATTTTTCCCTTAGGATTAATTAAAAGTTGCTTTTGCTTCCTTTATTCTAATAAGCAATAAATCTAATGAATAATACTATATGCCAACCTCTGCCTTTTATTCTTACTCTCTTCTAGGTAACAACATCCATTTTATACACCGTGATAGAAATAGGTTGGATCACAAACCCATCAACTCTGTTTTACAGCTTGTAGGAGTTCAGCATGTGGACTTTACAAGCAGATCTTCAGTTATCCATGTGTGATGGTGTAGACTCTTTATCACTTTCGAATGGACCCTTGGGATATGACCTGAAATGTTCAGATGTGGTATCCTTGTGCAGTGTCTCACTTGTTGGCTTTTCCCAGCCTTTGAGGAGTTATGAAAACATAAAGAGACCACGTACTAGTTGAACTACATACTGAGAGGCATCAGTTGTCAAAAATGTTATATATATTTATAATTCTATAGCTTTTAAAGTTTTATGTAAAATAAAATTTTATTTATATAAAATAAAACTTTAAAAGCTATAAAATTAGAAATACCATTTTTTATTTTACATTATGGTATATCCATTCAATGAAAGTTTTTATTGGCCCTCATTCTTTTTTTTTTTTTTTCAACGTTTATTTATTTTTGGGACAGAGAGAGACAGAGCATGAACGGGGGAGGGGCAGAGAGAGAGGGAGACACAGAATCAGAAACAGGCTCCAGGCTCTGAGCCATCAGCCCAGAGCCTGATGCGGGGCTCGAACTCACAGACCGCGAGATCATGACCTGGCTGAAGTCGGATGCTTAACCGACTGCGCCACCCAGGCGACCCTATCGGCCCTAATTCTTATGAAGAACATATAAAGGGAAAGGTAAGCAACTCAGGACCATTTTATCCAGTGAAAAAGCAGGATGTCAAATCCTGTAAATAATGTAATCATATTTTTATGTATATGTTTATATTTTTGCATACTTAGGAAAAAAGACAGTATATAAACACACCAGGTTATTGCCAGTAGGTACCTCTATATGGTAGGATTACAGTATCTTTATTTCCTTTTCCATATTTTCCTTTATCTCCTAACTTTCTATAATGAGCATGATTCATTTTTTTAGCCAGGAAAAGTTATTTAAAAATTATATGAAGAATATATTCCTATATAGGAAGCTTCACAAAGTTGCATATAAATGCAACTGTCTACATGTTTCCATCCACATTGCTTTACTTAGAGGAAATATTGCAAACCAAACCTGTATAGCCTGTGTTCAAAGCACCTTGTACCACACACACGGTATCCATTTCACTAGGATTTGGTGCGGGGAGGGGGGGGGGGGGGGTGGTGGTGGAAAGAGTAAAAGGAGAAAAACAATGTTTTATATATTTAATATATGTATTTAAAATATGGTTCAATATGCTTTTTGAAAGAATTTTAAGAATTGTTTAAACTAAAAACTTTGTAACTTAAATGTACACTGGTTTGCTTGCCAAATTGCTTTTATTTAGTGTACTGTTATCTTTTATTTTTCTAGAATGTTAATAGGTTTACTTGGGAAGTGTCCCAGAAATTCTGATGAAAAAAGTAGAGCAAGATCAAAATCTTGGTAATTAGTAGCAAATATACACTGCTTTGAACTTATAAACTTTTATATCAAGCATATGAGGTCACACACAAAATATATTTTAAATATCCAAATACTTTAATGTACATTCATGTATATATACATTAAACAATCATGTTTTTAACCAATAAAAACAAAATTCCTCATGACATTTAAAATTAAGCAATTTTGTGCTATTTTTTATAGTAAGGGAAGACTGGTGACCCAGATCCCTTTGCTGATTTTACACTTAAAACTGCTGAATCAGAGCTTACACAAAAATTTATATATTTATAAACTTACACCACATTTTTCTAAGATACACAAATGTTCTTTATGTGGCTTCAGGGAGGTTCAGTTACATAAATACAGTGCAGTGGTAAATTGCTGATCCAAACAAACATATTTAAAACAAAAAATATTTCTGGTAGTTACTGTGAAATATGTAAACATGCTGCATACCCAATAATATACTAGACTCCAAATTTTGAAAACCTTCCTATAATAAATACATAGAAATTACTGTTAAAAGAATACCATCTAGCCCTGTTATGGTGCTAATTATTTGCCAAATAGTGTTCCAAGTGCTTTACATAGTGCTCTATAGAATTGACATCCCCATCATGCCCATTTCACAGAGAAGAAACATCTTTTTTCTTTTTTTTAAATTAACTTTTTAAAAAAATTTTTTTTTAATGTTTATTTATTTTAGAGACAGAGAGAGACAGAGCATGAATGGGGGAGGGGCAGAGAGAGAGGGAGATACAGAATCGGAAGCAGGCTCCAGGCTCTGAGCCATCAGCCCAGAGCCTGACACGGGGCTCGAACTCACAAACCGTGAAATCGTGACCTGAGCTGAAGTCGGACGCTCAACCGACTGAGCCACCCAGGCACCCCTTAAATTAACTTTTAATAAGAAAGTGAGGAAACCATCAGGGCCAGAAGCAGAAACATGCCTTGAAGCCATGGGCTGCCCTGAAGTTTGTGCTCATCCAGGAATGTTCTTTGGCCAACTCAAAGGCTTTGTGTAGTAGAGAGTTAAGACTAAGACCACTGCCTAAAGTAGTGCCTGAGACCTAAGCCTGAGACCTGGGACTTCCTGGGACTTCTAAAAGCTACAGCTGCATTGCAGTCAGATCCATCCATAGACCAAGGATCCCAGTGAGGAAGTGTGTTGTAAGGCTCCTGCAGTGAACTACTGGGGCAACAAGAATTTTAATAACATGAACGTACATGTTTAAAAAATTTTTTTTGACATTTAATTTTGAGAGACAGCACGAGCAAGGGGAGGGGCAGAGAAAGAGGGAGACAGAATTTGAAGCAGGCTCCAGGCTCTGAGCTGTCAACACAGAGCCCAATGTGGGGCTCGAACCCACAAACAGATCATGACCTGAGCCGAAGTCACATGCTTAACCGACTGAGCCACCTAAGCACCCCTTTTAAAACATTTTTTTTACTGGGGCACCTGCGTGGCTTGGTCGGTTAAGCGTCCGACTTCGGCTCAGATCATGATCTCATGGTCCGTGGGTTTGAGCCCCGCGTCGGGCTGTGTGCTGACAGCTCAGAGCCTGGAGCCTGTTTCTGATTCTGTGTCTCCCTCTCTCTCTGCCCCTCCCCTGTTCATGCTCTGTCTCTCTCTGTCTCAAAAATAAATAAACGTTAAAAAAAATTTTTTTTTAATTTTTTTACTAAAAAAATTTTTTCTTAACGGACTGCATGTTTAAAAACCAGATACTTTTGTTTCTCAAGAAGATTGATGATAAGCTAGTAACCAGCATAAAATGCTTATTTATGTTACCATCTACCAGTGGGGCCAGAGTGATAACATGGACCATGTGAAACTTGGAGACAAGCTTTCTAAAGAAGAAACATCATCTACTCCAAAGTTACCAGTTATTTTAAGAGGAGTGTTCTAGAAAATAATTAAAGATGTACAGTTACAGAAGGTACATTTACACATCATTTTGTGAACATTTATTTTTCATTTATTTTTTTTGAGTAGACTCCATGCCCAACATGGGGCTTGAACTCACAACCCTGAGATCAAGGGTTGCATGCTCTACCAACTGAGACATTCATGCACACCTAGTTTTAATTTAGAACAGAGTCCTTTTAAATTAATTTTGCTCATTTTCACTTCCAAGTTTTCTTGTACCCGTATAAAAAGTGGAATGGCAGCTATTCATATATTAGCTCTATTAGCAGAAAACTTTGAAAACAGTTCCCAGATGCCAGTTTTATATCAGTATTATATAAATCTAAATGATTATATACTGTGATAAAAACAATGTTCATACTAAATTATGAAATCTATGGAGCACAGTGTACTTGGAACTTGGTTGTGATATATATATATAAAAGAGTGTCCAAGCTGTCAGTCAAAATAAATATTATAGTTGTGAAAATTTATTAAATTTTTTAAAACATTTTTTATTGTGATAAAATATACATAAAAACTTACCATCTTAACCATTTTTAAAATCTACAGTTCATGGGGCGCCTGGGTGGCGCAGTGGGTTAAGCGTCCGACTTCAGCCAGGTCACGATCTCGCGGTCCATGAGTTCGAGCCCCGCGTCAGGCTCTGGGCTGATGGCTCAGAGCCTGGAGCCTGTTTCTGATTCTGTGTCTCCCTCTCTCTCTGCCCCTTCCCCGTTCATGCTCTGTCTCTCTCTGTCCCAAAAATAAATAAACGTTGAAAAAAAAATTTAAAATCTACAGTTCATAACATTAAGTATACTCATAGTGTTATGTAATCATCACCACTACCCATCTCCAGAATTTTGTCATCATCTCATACTGAAACTCTGTACCCATTAAATAACTCTCATTGCTCCCTGCCCATAGCCCCTGGTAATCACTGTTCTGCTTTCTGCCTCTGTAAATTTATGGAGTCATACAATATTTATCATTTTATGTCTATCTGATTTCACTTAGCATAAAGTCCTCAAGGTTCATCCATGTTGTAGCATGTACCAGAACTTCATTCCTTTTTAAGGCTAAATTATATTCTATTGTATGTATATACATTTTATTTATCCATTCATCCCTCAGTGGACATTTAGGTTATTTCTACTTTTGGGCTATTGTGAATAATGTTGCTGTCAACCTTGGTATACAAATATGTTTGATTCCTTTCTTTCAATTCTTTTGTGTATATATCCGGAAGTGAAATTGCTGGATAATAGAGGCATTCTGTGTTTAAGGAACTGCCATACTGTTTTCCACAGAAGCTGCACCATTTTATGTTCCCACCAGCAATGTACAAGGGTTCCAATTTCTCTATATCCTCACCAGCATTTGTTTCTAGTTTTTAAATTTCTTTCAATGTTTATTTATTTTTGAGAGAGAGACAGTGCGCGCAGGGGAGGAGCAGAGAGAGAGGGAGACACAGAATCTGAAGCAGACTCCAGGCTCTGAGCTGTCAGCACAGAGCCCCATGCAGGGCTCGAACTCACAAGCCATGGGATCATGACCTGAGCAGAAGTCAGCTGCTCAACCAAACCACCCAGGCACCCCTCTTGTTTTTTTTTTATAATAGCCATTCTTATGGGTATAAAGTGGTACCTCATTGTAGTTTTGACAAAATTTACCAATTTTTAAACATGTATACACATAATAACCAAAAGAAAACATATCTATGAGCAGCTGATGTTAAATAATTAAAAAAAAAAAAAAAAAAAGCAAGGCCAGCCTGGACTTTCAACAACAAAGTCCACTATTGAGCAGACATTAGAAACATTTGGAGTGTTAAAGAACAGTTTTGTAAATCAACCTGTGTTGTCCTGATTGTGGGTATTTTTTTCTTTTTTTGTGAATGGGTCCTTACATGTTTTGATTTCTATTGTTTAAGTTGGAAATCTTTAGTGAGTTTATTTAATGAATGGTGTGCCAAAAAACTTTCATTTTGAACTTTTAGCAAATCATATGATTGAAAACAAACCTTACAAATAGGAAGACATTGAAATCTGGCTTTTAAATGAGAAGGAAACTAAACAGAATAAATAATTGAAAACTCAAATAGAATAAGATTTAATTATGAACGAATGAAATGGAGGGGCACCTGGTTGGCTCAGTTGGTAGAGCATGCCACTCTTGATCTCAGGGTCACGAGTTCAAGCTCCACATTGGGTATAGAGCTAACTTTAAAAAAAATAATAATGAAATGGAAAAAAAAAAAAAGGAACAAAATGGCCTCTGATTATTTACCATAAAAATATGGTAAAACATTCAAAAGAATTTTAAGTGGAGAATTTATTTGATGAGTTTTATCTT